TTCCTTTTATTTCAGAACCCCCGGTTGCTGGATGATGTCAGCTTCCATCCCTGTGTGCGTTTTAAGCGCTGGGAGTCAGAGAGAATACTCTCCTTCATTCCACCTGATGGGAATTTCCGCTTGCTCTCCTACCATGTCAGTGCTCAGAAGTAGGTGATGAATGGAGGGCTGTGAATTACAAAATTAGGATCTTCCTGGCTAGGCGAAGGGAAAAATACCCAAGGAGTTGCTTTTAAAGATCAGGTGGCAAGTGCTAAATGAAGTAGAAATCATAGAATAGTTTGGGTTGGAAGGGACCTTAAAATCTCCAGGCCCTGATGAAGGTCCCTCTCCAGCATCCCTGTAGCCCCCTTCAGACACTGGAAGCTGCTCTGAGGTCTCCACGCAGCTTCTCTTCTCCAAGCTGAACAGCCCCAATGTTCTCAGCCTGTCTCCATACGGGAGCTGCTCCAGCCCCTGATCATCCTCATGGCCCATGTTTTTCTCTTGTTTGGAGCAGTGGATCTGTCATTTCTTCATGGTCAGACAGCATTTTTCAAAGACTAGTAGCAGATGGACAAACTAGAGAGGGAAAAAATCAGGCAGGATGGAGTAATCAAGCCATTGATTTCCTACGCTTATAAAAAGATACAGAATAAAACAAGATAGTTTGGTAATCTTGTTGGGTTTTTGGTATCTCTCTTCATAGAACCTCAAGTTCTTGTCCACTATTCACACTCTTTTTGAGAAGCAGCTTACCAAGTACTAGTTTGAGTTACAGACGCTAAAACGTTTAGTTAGACTTTGTCAGACTTATCTCAAGTGTGAAAAGGAGTGGGAAATGCAGCCAAATGCACAAACGTGATACTCAGGTGCTGCTGCACTGCCTGAAACTACTTTTGCAACATGCAAAAACATTCCTTATCCTTTGCTTAAGTCTCCTGTTACGTTGGATGACGTTGCCTGTCCTGTAGAGAGGTAGAAAATTAAGACACAGCACGTTTGATTTTAAAAAGTATAATTGGGACTTTGAGCACAGGATTCTGACCTCGCTCTTAGATCAAACAAGTGTAGGATTTCCTTCTCTTTTAAGGAAATTGGTTTCCAATGTTTTCAGTGTAGAAGGCAAGGAATGCATCAGGAAAAGCAAAGATGGAGGTGAGAGACTGACAAGGATTTTCTGTTCATGTCTTTCTTGTAGTCTTGTGGCAATTCCTGTCTATGTTAAGCACAACATCAGTTTCCGTGATAGCAGCTCACTGGGACGTTTTGAGATCACAGTGGGGCCGAAGCAGACTATGGGGAAGACTGTAGAGGGAGTGATTGTCACCAGCCAGATGCCAAAAGGTGTCTTAAATATGACCCTCACACCCTCTCAGGGAACACACGTCTTCGATCCAGTTACAAAGGTGAGAGGAAAGAGAGAAATTAGCTTCTTTATTATTATTGTTACTTATTATTACCTCTCGGCAAACAAAGTTGAGCTGTTCATGATTATATGCACATTTCCTTGAACATTGCTTTTCTGAAGGTTGTCCCTTTTCTTGGGGTGAGAACTTTCTCTGCACAATTGCATACTATAAGTTGTGTTAATCCCCACAACGAATAGCTCAGTGTCCAAGTGGACTGTGGTTCTAGTTGCTTGGTGTGTGCAGAAAATCCAAGAACTGGTATTGTGTGATGAGGCATTGGTCTGGTGGATGCTTTGCAAACTCCTGGATATCTAGTTGTCATGCCTAATACTGCACAATAGACTTGGTCCTTTGCAAATACTGTGGATTTGGGTTGAGCCCTGTAGCACAAGTAGTGGAAATACCATTCATGGTAGGCTTTTGAGGAACCTCATGGAAAGAGAGAGGGGCAATAAGCCTGTGCTGTGCCTGTGCAACGTGAAGGGCAAGATACTAAGACAGACTTTTTCCCTAAAGAAACACTTAAAGCTGTCATAGGAGGGGGACTGTTCTTCAGGGACTGTTCCAGCATTTCTGTTTCACTGCTGCAATTTTTTTTTTCCTTGAAGTTGCTGTCATGGGACGTGGGGAAAATAAACCCCCAGAAGCTGCCAAGCCTGAAGGGGAGCATGAGCCTGCAAGCTGGGTCATCGAAACCAGATGAAAACCCCACCATTAACCTGCAGTTTAAAATTCAGCAGCTGGCTATATCTGGTAAGTGACTGCCAGGTAAGAAGCTGAATATTCTCTGCTGTGTCTTGCTCACTCTGCACATAGATGAAGTAGCTCTGCAGGCCTTCTGAAGTACACTCGACCTGAAACATGGTCTTCAAGTAGAAAAAAATAGGGTGCTTTGACTACATGGATTTGTTCTCTCTAATGCTCTGAAGCAGCCTATCTACATTTCCTTGCATGTCGTGCTTACAGACCTATAAACAATTCCAGGGTATGGATGTGTTGGTGAAAAGCGATTCTGACAATAAGCAGTTGTTGGCTTTTCTCCATTCTTTTTACTGCTTCCTAAAACTTTCCCTGTGCTTTCTGCACTGCTGGTATGATCTGCTGTTGCTTTATCTTGAAGGCCTGTCTGCTTTGCTTGTGGCAGCAGTCAGTCTCATGCTCTGTTTGTTTGCCTTTAGGACTGAAGGTGAATCGCTTGGACATGTATGGGGAGAAGTACAAGCCCTTCAAGGGGATAAAATACATGACTAAGGCTGGCAAGTTCCAAGTCCGAACCTAGAGGATCCTGATAGCAAGGAAGAGCACTTTCCTGTTTCTCCTGTCCCCGGCTGTTGGATGCAGCCTCTTACCCCATCCATCTGTTCAGGGTTGCTCCCTTGCCTGTAGTAGCATGAGCAGGAGAGTCAGTGCTTAGGGTGCTGGGGAGCAGGGAAAGGTAAGGTCGACCTGAAACCGTCTCATCCCTAGCTGAGTCTGAAGCATTTGGAACAATGCGAGAGGTGTTCAGGTCTCTTGGGATTAGTGAGTCAGCTGTGTGTGCTTGTATCACCTTCATTTTGCTGTCTTAAAGGAAATTCTAGGGGTTTATTGCCTTCTATAACTCTTCTTCCTTATATTTTGGTTGGCTTTTAGCCCTTGTAGATGATACAAAGTTGAACTTCCAGCATCTGCCCTTCTCCATCACTGGGTGTTAAGGTCTAGAGCTCTATAGTTCTTGGCAGCAGAGAGATCATCCAGCCATTCTGCCTGGAAGGGACTGAGAAGTGGAAGGGTAGATTGTCCCACCCAGCATGAGCAGTTAAGAAGCCTGAGATTGGGGATGGTGTCACAGACAGAGGAAGGGAAGAACTGAATGCTTTTTCTACATTATTTCATAAGCTCTTTTGGTCATCAAGTATCTTGAATCTCTGGAGATGGACTGGAAACTCATCCAAATCTCAGGATGGTATCCTATGGAGGGCCAACTGCAGGACATATGGTCTTGTAATTGATGGGTGGTGACATGTGAATGTAGTTCTACTTCTCTTATTTCATCAGTATTTGAAGGCAGGGATTCTCCTGGCTTCTCTGAGGAGTCAGGGGAGAGACAGAAAGGCATGAGAATTTTTGTGGAGACACAGCACACTGATGGAAATTGAAGCTGTGGTTAAATGAAGACAATCACCATCCTAGTAACTTGTTGGAACCTCTTCTTGTCTCTGCCTGCCTAGTACAAATGAAGGTGATACTGCTGTTCTTCTGCTCACTGATGTCTGTCTTTGAGGTAATTGTGTCCTGGTACCTTTGTAGTATTTCTTGCTGTCCTACCTCATTCCAGTTCCTGTACCAATCGGCCGCTCTGCAGGTGCATTCGAGCCTACACTGGATTTTTCACTGGGACCATCTCTTCTGTAGGAGCTGTTTGCTGGATTTGCCCAGTCTAGTCCATCCTGCATCTCTCTACAGCATAAATACAAACCGAGAGGCATCTGCAGTGTTCCATATTATCTGTAATGTGCTCTTTGGCCACTAGATGCCAATGTGTTTTCTCTGTGGTAGCAGAACTTGGCCCTGGCTGGGGTGTGCAGCATGTACACTTCATGCTTGTGAACAGAACAAGGTGACTCTAAGCAAAGGGTTTGCCTGTGATGAATACTTGCAGTGGATGAGTGGCATCTTGCATGTGGAATTGCAAGTTTCAGTGCAACTGATGGATGCCATAGCAGGTGGCCCTGCTGCCGAGCATGTTCAGTGCAAATACAACCTTCTGCAAGGGCATCAATAAAGTTCAGTTCTACATGTCCTAATGTGTCATTTCAGAGTGGCTTGTGTGGGCTGTACAAAAAATACAGTTGGTATTTGAGCAGGAAGGTGAATTATGGTAGTTGGATTGTGGATAGTGGGTGCCTTAGGGGGATAAATGTCTTTATGCAGTTGGGATTATGAGCTTGGGACTAAGCCACTGTCTGAAAAGCTAAAATGAATTTCTCTCTTGGTATTCTTTTCTTGGTGTTTCCTGCAAGGAGCACTGAGCTCCTCCTGGAACCTCACTGAAACTGCCTTAGGACAGCTCAACCATTTCTGTTTACTAGTAGGGCTTTGAGAGCAGGCCAAGGACTGTGCTTCAGTTATGAAGATTAACTGGACTTAACCACCATTTCTCTGAGGACAAAGAATCAAGCTGAAACCAACTTAAGTAACCAAAGTGGTATAAGGATAGAGCTTAGGCCTGACTGGAATGTATTCCAAATTTACAGCCAAATAAGAAGAGAGATTAAGTTTTCAGGAAATTTAATGTCCCCTTTGCCTTCATTTCACACCCCTTCCCAAACCGATGTAGCTGCTTGTGGGATGCACGATGTTGCCTCTTGGTTTACTCTCTTTATAAATTAAATTTAATAGTACTCATGTGATTTGATGCAAGGAGAAAGCCTGGGGATGTGGGGGGAAAGGAGTGTTAGCTTCCAATAACCTGTAACAAGGAAGAGAGAGGAACTTGAGAATGTGCCCTTCCCACATATTCCTGTGGTATGAAAAGCTGTAGGACAAAAGGAAGCACTGTCAGTATCCTTAAAGCATCACGAAGGAAGCTTTGAGGGCACGGCCACAAGGTTGTGGATAGTTCATTTTTCTTTCTCAGGGTTTCATGTTGTCCTGAATCCAGTCAAGATAACGATTCACATTGGTATAAACACCAGGTTTGTCTTTGCGGCCACAGCCTATTCCCCAGCTGATGATTCCAATGAGATACATCCGATCATCCTTCATACAGACCAGAGGCCCTCCAGAGTCACCCTATAGAGAAGCAGGAGGTTAACAGCTATCTCCTTTTTGTTTGGTTGGGTTTGTGTTGGCTTTTACACACACCCCCCTTATTGACTCCCTCAATGACTAACCCCAGACTTAACCCTAACACTAAAGCATTTAACTTCATATGGCACTCATGAATTGTAGGTGAGATGTTGGCCAGAACAAAAAGAGGAATACTCTCATTCAAGCTTATTCAATGACCCAGGGTAACTTATACTGCTGTGTGTGTTGAAGAGCTATTTAAATGGAAAGGATGTGGACTGAATGCATGCCCTCCTTTTTCCTCATTCCCCACCATCTTTGGCCTTTATTACTCTATTTTCTGCACTTTTCAGTAGAGCAGCACCCGCTTTCTCTTACAGAACACCCTGCTGAGTGTTTTGCATGCTCACATAAGAGAAAATATTAGGAAATGCTGCTGAGGTGGAGTTTCCTGCTCAGATTTACGCCATTTCCTATATTTGGGATTTTCAGTCTGTGTTGTTCTTGTGAAGTGTGGCCTGCTTTTCCTGGCTATGAGGGGCAGGGGAAGCAAAGAGGAGCCAACAGTTCTGTTGTGTTTGACAAAAGTCTGCTGGAACTTCCACGTAGCCAAATACAGAACAACCTTAAACCATTTTCCTGAAGCTTTTTCTTTGCTTAGCTCAGACTCTCAGTGACAGGATTGAGCTTACCTTGCAGGCATCATCAAGGTTCCTTGTGTCTCCTGCACATAACATGTTGTCTGTAACTGTCCGGTTGTCTAGATGCTGTGTTGTGCACCGACTGGCTGGAAACAGTCTCACATGGCCTTCCTTCAGGTGCTCTGAATAGAATGGAGAAACTGGAAGAAAAATTGCAATATAAATACATAAATATGTCTGTGTGGGTGTATATATATTTTAAAAGCCCGAAGTCGTTCAGTTTCTGTAGTTTAGAGGAGAGTAAATAGAAATATTTGGGGGCAGAAGGGGTTGAACTACTATTTCCTTGCCAAAGGGCCTTTTCTGATTCTTGGGGGTCTTGCTTTGCAAGTGGGAACTGCTTCAAATCTAGTTGAGAGAGAACACTGCTTCTTTAGCAAGCTTAAGTTCTAAAAACTGCTGGGTTTTATGGACGGGTAGGTCATCTTTGCACAGTTACATCAACCAAAATGAAGTCACAGCAAGTGCCTGTAAAAATCACTAACCATACAAAACAGGATCCTGACTTTTTAGTATTAGACTTGCACTAACAAAAAGCGGATGCCTTGTCGTACACAATACTGAGAACTGGATAGGAATGTACGCTTCTGTTGTGCTGGAATGGAAGGGATTTGGTGTTGCTTTTATTCTCCTGCATAGCCACGATTGCACAAAGCTGGAAGCTGGCAGGGTGGTTGTTTTTCAGTCTAGTTTTGAATTACAATTGCAGCATCCTTTCCCTTTCAAAGGGTGTACCCTGCACTCCCTGTAAGCAATGCTGAGGACTAGCTTTAAAAGCACTTTACGCTGCACTTGTATGTTACAAAGTCTGTTCCAAACCTACTATGGGTTCAAACCATTTTTAGCTCTTTTTATGCTGGATTCTTCACAGTCTCTGTCTCAAAGAGGCTACAAGTTAGCAAATAAAATGAAAATTAATAGAAAGTACCAGTAAAATACAAGCTGGGGGATTTTGTTTGTTTTAAATATAGGTCAGGCTGTTACACCTTCAGACACGTTTTATTCCTGTCTGTTGTAGCTCACTTTAAAAACCATTTAGCCAGCCTTTTCAGATATATATCTGGGATTATCTGCTAATACATACCTGCTAATCACAGCCAATGTATCTTCTAGAATAATGCAACTACCTGCAACTGTATAGTATATTAAATCTTGATAGAAATGGATTTGTCAGAATGACAGTATCTGAATGCACTCAGTACAGCAGAAACATGGCAGTCCTGATTGCAATTTTTCTGTCTTTCCTACCTTATCCATTGTGCCTGTTTCTACTGTTGGAGAGTACCAGGGAAGACTCTATTAGCACCTGCAGCTGACAGAACTCAGATCAATGAAATAACTCATAGAAAACCAAACTTCTGTTTATCTCCTACTTATTCATATGTTTTGTAGTGCTGATATAAGCCCATTTAATAATTCAGGGGGCCACGCATTAAGCAGTGCTAAAGGCAGGGGACACAAACTGTAGTATCTTCCATTTACATGTAGACATGTATCCTCTACTTACATTCTTCGTTTTTGCCATAACCAGAGATCTCACATTCAGTCCAAGCAGGCAGGTGTAGAGCTGGTGTTGGGAGGCAGGCAGCACGGACAGTGTCTGTTTCAATAGCACAGTCCTCTGCATCTGAGTTCAACTGCAACAGAGCTGAAGAGGGAAAGCAACTTCATTAACCACAAACTGGAGCCAACCACAACCTTAGCAGTCACTAGGTAAGAAAAGTTCTTACCAATGTCATTGTTGAAGTTTTCTGAGTCAAACCTCTGGTGCACAGTGTAGCTCTTCACTTGAAACTTCTGTTCATTTTCCTCAGGAGTTACTCGGGATGTTCTCCCCAGCACAATCTTCAGCTGATTTGCACTAAAGCTGAAGAACAAGAATCTTAACTTTCCTCTCGAGTGCACCCTTCTCTTGAAGATGTGCTGCTGAAGCTTCTTATTTCAGCACTATTACTACTTCATTACCCAGGCAGTTTGACCTGAAGGGTCCGATTTGCCTTTGCTTTTGCACTAATTGCTTACAGCCATCATGGCAAAGCTCCTCTGCCAGCCCCTTGCTGTTCTCAATTATCAGATGGATCTGCATCTGTACTGACAGCTTTGTTCTTCAGCTGCTTGCTATTCTGCTGTGATACCTTAATGCCATGCTGTTAGTTGGCCCAACAATTGCCTGTCTGTCATGCCCTGCACAACTAACTATTCTCTTTAGTGTAGAATGACAAGCTTTATTCCAAGCCTTTTCTAGTAAGGCGAGACGATGCTTCCAATTCCAGTCTGGTTGTGTTGGGGTCTGGTTGGTTGGGTTTGGTCCCCGCAACACTACTGAATCCTCAACTTACCCCTCCTCAAAGCAGTGAGCAGCTGACAGAACCCAGCAGGAGCTGATCAGGACTCCTCCGCAGAGGAAGTGCTCTCCGGGCGCCCGGCGGTACTTCACGAAGATGGCAGCTTGCCATGGGTGAGCTGCAATGTCTGCATAGGAGCCACCCTTGATCCTGAACTGGCGTCCCCGGCGCTGCCGCAAGCCGCAGGTGGCTGTGGATGGCAAACCCAGAAACAGGCTTTTTGTTCAGGCAGTCTTGCCTGGAGTTTGGGTTAAGAGGCTGTTAGTTGCCAGCGCATGTTGAGGCAGCCTGGCATGAACTGTGTAGTACTGACTCATTCCTGTTTCCTAGGAAACTTGTATTCTGATGTGAAAAATACAGTAAGGAAACCCTGCCTTTTCTGTCCTCCCTTTCCTTCTAGCAGAGAAAAAGGCACTTCTGTGAGACTGGAGCCACAGAATCTCTGCTCTAAAAAGGAGACACTAAAGAAGGTTTGGGCTTGGTTTTGGTGTGGTTTTTTTTGGGGGCAGTTCTCCCTCCAGCTCTTATTTTACTATAAGAGGCTCGAGCTTAATACAAATGGCATGCAAAAGAAGAGAAGACACAGGAGTGATGGATCCTTACAGCAAGTAGGCACATTGCAGTACTCCCATGTGAGCTGATTTCCTTTCAGAACATGGCACCAGGGCTTGCTGTCATTGTCAGGATTCCTGCAGCACAGGAAAGAGGAGAACTATTTGTATTATCAGATCTGAAGAGAGTGTGGGGAGACCTAAAGGTGGCAGCCTGTAACCTGCGTGTTCTAGGCATAACAGAGAGCCCTAGGACCACGTGGAACTTGAATGTATGGAGTCTGATGTTACCAAAGCATAGATAGGTCAGGTAGAGTAAAATTACTATTGTCAGTGAGCTTCATTCCCAGCAGTAATGTACTTCCTGTGCTTTAATAACCCACATAAAAGAGCCCAGCCTTAAAAGCACCACAAGGAAGTTTGGTGGGACTTTGATTCTGTGACTACCTACCGGCAGAAGTTGTGAGTACCAAGGCCCAGCTGGTAAGCGTCTCTTCTCCAAGCAGTATATAACTTGTTGATAAGGATTTGGGAATTCCACCTCAAACAGGTAGCTCCAGAGCTGGTAACACTGTGGATGCCTCGGTAATCTGTGCCTCTTCCAGATTTGCAGTTGATGTTCCCAGCTTCAATAAGAAAGCTGCATATTAACTTATGGATGTGAACCTCTTAGCTCTTCCTAACTGTGATTTCTGTCAAGGCTATATATTAGCTATACTTATCTCAGTCTCTCAGTTTCATAAATGTTAAAAGCTTAAACACGATTAATGTTAGAGTTTCAACTTTTCAGGCTGCAGAAATAGCAGAGAGTCCACAGAGAACCCTTAGATATGCAGTGAATTGTGGAAGCTGTAAAGTCCATTCCCTGTCCCCCTGCATGTACCTTTTGAACAGGAGGGCACACTGCAGTGTTCCCAGGTGTACTTTCCCCCTTTATAGATATAGCACCAAGGTCTGGAATCCTCATCTGGGTTTCTGAAAGAGTTATGATATTACACGTCATTATGAAGCTGTTGTTATTAGTCCCATGTCTGCCATCTAGTTTGGTAACTTAATCCTGCTCTGCAGTGAAGACATGGACTGAACCTTCAGAAGTCATGTGGATTCCTATGTTAATTGTGGAGTATATGGAAGCGAGGATGAGACAACCAGTAGCTGGCAGAAGTGGATAGGTTGTTTTGGAAGTTTAGTTTATGAGCAGGACCTGGAGCTGCAGGAAACTGGCTTACAAAGGGAGTTTTAGGCACTGAAAAGGGACAAGGGAAAGCTCTCACTGTGGGGTGAGAGCTGCACGCATTTTGTACTCTGCCATAACCATCCAGTCTAGGTAGACCTGAAGTTCACATATGCCTGAACCTCAGACATACAGAAATTGCAATTGCCACTCATGGGCTGCACTTTATTTCTCTGCTTGACATTAGACTACTTAAACAGCCATTCCTTTGCTCCAAGCTCTTAGGCTGATTCCTGTGCCTCTGACCTGTGTGCGTCAGCCACTCACCTGCAATAGTTGTGATTGCCCAGTCCCAGCTCAGCAGCATCCTCTCTTCGGCTGCTGTACATCCTGTCCATCAAGCCATTGCTATTCCAGTTTAAACATTCAGTTCCGCTCTCTGTCATGCTCCATGTACCCCTGTATGTTACTCCAGCATCTTTGTAGCACTTAACTTTAGTATCTGAACAAAAGGGAATAAAGTTTACATCTTCTGGGTACCTCATCCTTCTGCACTGCATAGCTAAAGGCAGTAGCATTGGTATACCCACCTATTTCACACAGCTTCCCAGAGAAACCTTGGTGGCACTGGCAGATGAAGAGCTGTGGGGAATAATATGCCTGTGAACACTGGCCCCCGTTGTAGCATTTAATTCTAGTGCAGGCTGTGGAATAAGCAAAAGCCAGAATACTGTTATATTTCACAGAAGTAAGAAGCTGTCAATGTATACCATCATTCCTCTCCTGTCAGTCCCCTTTAGCCTGTTCTATCATGTGCTTACAGTCTTTTTGTGTAGTGCTTACGTTCTTCCTTTGCTCCGTTCTCTCCATGTGCTGTTAGGAGCCTCTTGCCCACTCCCTCTTAGTCCTGCCTAAATCAGTACATATTAGTACTTTCATTTCTATCCTAGTCTATTCAAGCCACATTTTCTGTGTGGTAACTCCTTCCCTGACAGTGGAGTTCTTCAGGATGTTTAGATGGACAATCTCTTGTCCCCCACCACTTCCTTTCTCTTTTTCTTCCTCATACTCACCTCTGACAGGCACAGTGTGGCAGCGACTCCAACCGCTGTCGCACCTACAGTATTCTACTCTGCTCCCTGAAAGCCTCAGCCAGGTCCCCCTGTGCTGGTAGATTTCTCCAGATGATTTTTCTGTGCAAATGGCTGCAATTGGAGAAAGGAAAATCCTTTTTTAGAGAGTCAGGGAAAAGACCTGGCTGAGCGAAAGAACTCCCTTCTCTTCCCAGGAGAAAAGTTCCGCTACTGACAGCCTCCCTTTCTTTGAGGAAGAGCAGAGGGAGGGGAAAACTTTGTTCTTGGAGTTGTGCATCGTATTGACAGTGTGCTGTTTTGCCTTCTGAATCTCTCATCCAGATAACCGTGACAAACAGCTTTCAGGCTCTGTTCCCTCAGCATCGGTGAGGGTCCCCTCCTGCGTTCACAAAGCTCCAGGGAACACGGTTGTAGTTTGCGTGGCTTACCTCTGGATCTGGCTCCCCGTTTGAAACGCATGCGTAAGCCCTGCAAGCAAAGAAAGTCAATCCTGTGAGTAGCTGCTCTCTTAAGAAAACTGAGAGAACAAGTGCCTCCATCCTCTTCTTGAGGACTTGTACAGCAGGAGAGCTCTGAGCAACTCTCTGCCCTCCTTGTCAGACAGTACAGTGAAAAGGGCCTTTAGTGCCTCAGCATGGGTACCGAGAACTGTAAACCATGGAGCTGCCACAGCTCTAACCAGACTCTCCTTCTGTCCGATGCAGGCAGCTGGAGTCAATGGTAAGGAAGGACTGCTGAGAACACAGGAGGATGGCAAGAGCATTATTTGATGCATTAGCCTCTTACCTGGCATTGAGCAGTCACAATTGCTCCCACCAGCAGGAGCAATGGGAGCTTGCCTTCCATTCTGAGTGTTTTCCACATCACATCCAAATCTCAAGTTATCTACAGAGACAAAAGACAAAACAAGATGTTGAACAAAGGCATTTTACAGTTGACTGGAGTTCAAGGGCATAAGTTTAAATAAAGGGTTTTAATTATGACAGTTCTTTTTACATGACAACACACTTTCTACTCTGCAGTTCTCAGCCATCAGGACTGGCTGTCCTGGTGTCCCTGGACACGGGAAGCTGTCAGGCTGGACCCAGATATGCTTCTAATTGATAAAGTTAGAAACACGAGAAGCTAAAGCACACGCTGTTAGGTCTGGAGGAAGCTCAGAGAATGTTTCTGGGAAGTAACACTGGCAGAAGTAAATTCCAAGTCCTTTTTCTCAAGGTTGCTGGAAGCCAGCAGGATCGTGTGCATTATTAAAGAGATGGACTTGTCTAATGAAGGAATGTACTACTGATTGGAAAGTTCATTGAGATTCAGGTCACTGAAGCTTAGATCTCTTGCAAGGACTCAAAAACCTGCAGAAGGGTCAGTCTGTGATAACAGTGGTTTAAGAGGATTTTCATTGTCTGCACAGACTGCTTTCTTTGGGCAAGAGTGAGGGATTCTCCTGTGTCGAGGATGCTTCAGCAAGGAGGCTTTGGTTGATGATAGGTGGGGACAGTGCTGCTATGTCTTTGGTTTTCAAGATTTCTACAGCTTTGCCCTAGCTGAGCTTTTAGTTTCTACTATTGTTATTATGCTTTTGCTGAAAAGGGAGAGTATGGCAATCAGCTGGCAGGGTTGGTGCTGGTGCTCTCATTTATCTGTTGCACTCCTGTGCAGTCACAGCAACTTCTTATTTCCTCTAATCCCTTCAGCAGCTTTACACTTCAGACGAAGCCCTCTTCCATCCCACATTAGGTTTCTGCTTCTTCCAGACTGATTTACATAAGTCTGCCTTCTACAGCAGCAGAATGGAGAGAGAACCTCCAGTGATCTCCTGTGGGGGATCACCAGCTGGTATGGTGTGGCTGGGGTTAAGGATAAGTCTGGATTTCTGTCTCCATCTTACTTGCTTTGAAAATCTGCTTCTGTCTTCACTCATCAGAGGTTAATTTCCTACCTGGTGAAACTGCTGCTCTGACCTGGCTGCACATAGGACATCTGGGTACCGTGATCCATCTATATTTCTTCCTACTATAGCAAGATTTATTTCTGTCTGGCCTTGAGCAGACAAGGTTCTTGGCAGAAGCATGAATTTAGATCTCTGTAGCCACTGACTACAGTGAGATATGCTACCATCTCGTGACCTAGCTTCCCCTCCTCCAGTTTGCTTCCTGACAAAGGAGGAGAAATGATTTCTTTCACCAAAGCTGGGTGCCCTGTATAAGCAGTGACTTGTTTAGGTCAAACTTTGGTGCAGCAGGAGGCAGGCTGGTGACACGACGTACCCTGAGCATGTACAAGATCACACTGCTAACATTGAGCAATGTGGGGTTTTTTCCCTTGCTGTACTAAACACTATTTCTAACCTAATCCTCATAGCAGAAAAATACCCTGGATCTGACAAAGGCACCAAAAGGTTTCTAAGGTGGTTTGCTTCCTGATGAGGGCAACGTGCTTTGCTGTGGGCTTCCAGCTCCTCTGTTAATCCCTGGAGGAAAAAGTCTTCAAGAAGACTTATTTTGCCCATTCTTTTATCTTGGTGACCTTGTACTAACCCTGGAAGTTGTACATATGGGTATATGCATATGTACATCTATATATGTAAAAGAACTCCAGTAAAGCCTCATCTCAGCAGCACCAGTTTGGTAGCTAGCAAAGTTCTATTCTATATTTAGAAACATTGCTGAACTTGAGGACTTCAAATGAGGATTTATTGGTACACCCACAGGACACTGGTGGGGGGGAAGAGGCTGTTGTTCATGACATAACTTAAACTAGTAAGATGAATACACATGGTTGTACAGTGTCAAAGGTTTAGAAACAGTGTCTATGCCATTCACTAGCAAGGTCCAATACATCTTTTGAAAACTGGGGAGGTATTATCAGTTTTCACAGTTGAGCTATTGACAACTCCAGTCCTTAAAAGCTATGTAGTCTGAACCCTTACAATAAGATAACTAACTTTATCACAGGTTTTCTGGCTTGAACCCATGATTTTCTTCCTAAAAGTAATAGTTACTCCTGCATGCAGTAACAGTAGGTCTTTTTGCAATTGAATAGGACATAAGTAATCACCAGTGTGAACAGATTTAGCTTGATCCTCTGTACTCACCAAGACTGCTACAGCAGTCAGCTTAGATGGCTGAGATGATGAATCACTAGAGCATGATGTAGGTGGGAACCCCCCTGCTTTGACCATGTCCAGCACCAGAGGTCCATTTTCTCTTTCCTTAAAAGTATAGTGCCTCCTATACATATGGAGAGCTGGGAGTGAGGTAGAGCAGCAGGCAAGAAGATAGAATTTCATTCCCAATCTCTAGGGTTGCTCTGCAGTTCCAAATATTTGCAGTAATACTCAGGCATTGTCTCCCACACTATCACCTTCTTGTTATCTCCATGATATGATCTCTGAGCAAGTAGAAAGCTAACCCTTTTGAGGTTTGAGAAATTACTTCCAGAAATTAGGAGCTCAGACTCTGTTTATATAAATCCAGAGAAGGCAGCTGGATAATAGCTGCTGAAATTGGAGTATAACAGCTGAATGAGTCATAAATTGGGATTCAAGGCTAAAAAAGGGAGGGAGTTTCTTTGTGGGTTGTGTTGGTTTCTTTTAAATACTTGTTCAAAGAAGAGGCAAAAGGCACAAATATGCCAGTCTCTGAAGCAGAACTGGGAGTGCAGCAGGATAATTTAGCCTTTAGCTTCTCATCACTACACTGCACAAAGAGGAGATTTAAGCTGCAAGTCAGACTGAAAAGATTCACAGGAACAGCTTCCAAGAACCTTAGTTACTCCAAGTCTTACCTTAACAATGAGATCCTTGTAATTCAGAGCATCTCCTGGGGATTTGTATTACTATGCAGATTTTGTACTATAGTTTTTTATATACTTTCAAGCCCTTTCTCACCACTTAGGAGGCAGTTTGCATTGCATAGCAAGCCTTTTTGAAGGCTGTAAGAGTGGCTTCAAAACAGGCATTTACTTCAGTGGAATCTGAACTAAATCAGCAGTGGTCTGGACTTGTACTTATTGCTGCTGCCCTTGCTCAGGCTCTCCCCTCCACCTTTCCCCCTGTCTGTGGGAGATGCCTGTCCACCCACTGGTGGCTGCTGTCCCACTGTGCATAGAAAACTGGTAACAGATGTTGCCAGATGTTTGTTTTCAGTTTTGGGAAAGGTAAAACTTAGGGCAGGCAATTGGAATGTTCTGAATGATAAGCCCTATCAAATTGAAACCATATGGCTGTTTGAAGAATACCATGTTTACAAGACTTCACAAGCAGTGTACTTTCTGTAGGGCATCAACTAGCAATAGGCCAGAGGCTTAGATGTGGTGCTCGGACAGTTTGGTTCTACACTTTCAGGTACATTAGGATGTAAAGATATGTGATACCCCAAATTGATCGCTCTTGGCTGAAGCATCAAGCAGGAATACTTGAAATCCCTCATATTGTTAATAATAACAGCCCTTCTAAGCAGTAAGAGTGTATGTATTATCTTATGAGCGTGGAATAAGACCTAAAAAAAGGATCTATCTATCAAGGTTGAACATAAAGTCATTAATTGAAATTAAAAGTAGCTTCCCCCAAGCCCCTGTATGCCTTCCAGTAACCTAGTAGGTGCATTTCAGAATGCTTTGATTCTGAATCTATAGCACTAAGAGATTTCTTGCTGATGAACAGCTATATTGATCTAGTTCAAGCAAAAGACTGCAGATCCTTGCTGCCTTTTCCTGCCTTATGCAGAAAGTGCTTCTGTATCCCTTTGCTAAACGGAGCAGATGAATATCAAACTGGAACTATTTCTGTTTAAGATGTAACAGCAGACAGACCTTTGGCTTTGGGGAAAAGAATTGTTTAAAAACCCCAAAACAGTAAGCTTTTGCAGCCTCTGAAGGCATCGGAGGAAATGGGTATTTCAAACTCTGGCTTTGTTTTGGGAATCATTCTCAATATTTCCTGTGGTTTTGGCTGCATTTGAAAAGCGTGATCTGAAGATCCGCCCTCCTGCTCCCTGTCCCTCCATTACCCTGGCAGGGGACTGGGATGAGCACACAGCCCGATCTCCCTGGCAGATGATAACTTCTCCTTTCACAGCTAGCTCTCTGGGTCTCTCCTTACCATCAAGGTATTTGTCCATAACTCTTCCTTCGCTTTAAGTTCTCTTGCTGATGTTCTTTGGACGGGAGACCTCCCCCCTTGCTAGCTGGGGCTGCCAGCCCTTTCCCTGCAAGAGCTGGAGCTTTCTTGGCATAACTGAAAGCTATCAGCTGTACCCAGCGTTAGGAACCTCCTCCAAAGCTGAAAGGCAATAGCCCAGTTAGTTCACCACCACGGTGCTTCAGCGGGATTCATTAAATAACAGTAGTTAATAGCAGTCCATGACAACGCCACTGATGCTGAAAACGGGCATTGCGCTTTGTGAGGCAGGTGCAGAGCCGGACCTACCTTTGCTTTCTCTCTGCTGGATCCGCGGATGGAGCTCTCTGCAGAGCAGCGGGTTCCTGCTCTCCGCCGCTGCACTGCGCGCTCCC